TATTCTAGGGAAGGGGCATGCTAGGGGGTGGAAATGAGGACCTGGGGGGTATCATGGTCTGAGGGGTGGGAGGAGGGGTCACCTGGGTGTAGGTTTCCTCAATGAAGAAATCCACCAGGACCATGATCAGGATGGAGATGGGGACCCCAAAGTCCCCGATGACCCGACGAAGCTGGGGACAGGTGAAAGGACCAGTGGTCAGTGCCCAATCACTCCCCACCTCCTGCCACCCTCCTGCCCTATATTCACCCAGGGGGCCTACTCTTCCAGGGGATCCATCAGCATCTAATGCCCTGTCCTGCACCTCAGCTATGTCTGCCTCCTTTCTTTTTCTCTCAGCAGTTCTCAGGCTGGACATGCCACAAAAGTGGGAGGGGCTTGCCCTCAGTGAAACCCTAGGTAAGGATGGGGTCAGGGGAGGTTGGAATTGGGAATGGGAATCTGAAAAAGAAGGGAAGCTAAGGGCACTGGGGAATTTGGAGTGGGGGGCTTTGGGCTGGGATAGGGCAGTGTTGGTAAGGACAGGTGAGGAGGGTGTGCTGACCTTGCCAGGGAAGTAGGAGCTGTTCTTGAACTTGCGCAGCATCACGGCAAAGAAGAAAGTACCAGCCATGAGCACAAGGGAGAGGAGGGCTGTGTTGGGCAGGGGGCCCTGAGGTTTGGGCACCATCAACACATTGTGGTCATAAGTCTTCTGTAGTGGGTGGTCCTGGAAGATCTGCAGCAGAAAACCAAGGCATTCTTTTCCCTCCCAGCCTTGGCTTGGGCTGGAAAGTACCACCAGCTAACTCTACCCAGCACTACCATCCATGCATCCAGTCATCTATTAATTCATCATCCATCCATTTATCCACCCATTCATCATTCATCCATCCATTATTCATTGATCTTCCATTGATTATTCATCCATCCATTCATTATCCATCTACTCATCCATCCACCTACCTATCATCTAGCCATCCACCCATTTATCCATCCATTCATCCATGCATCCATCCATTATCCATCTATTCATCCATCCATCCATCTATCTTCTCCCTCAATTGACATGGAAACAGAGGATAAATGGGATTCTACAGCTTGGTTTTCAGGAATGAAGACGCCCAGGTTTGGGCAGGGAGGGCCATGGAAGGCAATGCATGTGTGTGTGAGCACACATGCACACCCAGGACCTGGGAGACATGAGAAGGCTGGAGGTCAGGAAACAAGGGTCAGGGAAGTTTCCAACAAGGGGTTAAAAGACCTAGACACAGAAAGACCCTCCATCCGACAGAATCAGGGGACAACACGTAGGGCCCACCTTTCTTCCATATAAAATGCAGGTGCAGATGCAAGCAGAGCTTAAGATGACAGGAGGCAAGCCAAGGTGGGTGGGCCCTCTATCCACAAGCCCTGCAGCTCTTGAGGACAAGCGCAGGGGAGGGAGTGGGGGACTTCAGAGGCTCCAGAGTCCCCCCTGTTCTCACTGTGCATGCACTTTCACATGCTCAGTGTCACGCCCATACTTACCCATTGCTCACATCATGTGTGGTCATGAACTGGACATGTGCACACAGAGGCACCCTCTCATGCCTCAGCAAGAATGCTTGCCACAGGCAGCAGCAGGTGCCAACACATACGTGGTCACAGTCAACACAGCTGCACAGTCCGCAGATGTGTGACTACACAGGCACAGACACATATGTTGCCGCAGTCATATGCACAGTCACATGGTTGTGTACACAGGTGAAAGCAAAGCCACACAAATGCTGCACAGACACATGTGCGAGGACACAATGGCTCAGTCTTTTTTTTTTTTTTGAGACAGAGTTTTGCTCTGTTGCCCAGGCTGGAGTGCAGTGGCCCAATCTCGGCTCGCTGCAACGTCCACCTCCCGGGTTCAAGCGATTCTCCTGCCTCAGCCTCCCGAGTAGCTGGGATTACAGGTGCATGCCACCACACCTGGCTGATTTTTTTTTTTTTTTTTTTTTGAGACGGAGTCTCACTCTGTCACCCAGGCTGGAGTGCAGTGGCCCAATCTCGGCTCGCTGCAACGTCCACCTCCCGGGTTCAAGCGATTCTCCTGCCTCAGCCTCCCGAGTAGCTGGGACTACAGGCGCCCGCCACCTCGCCCGGCTAGTTTTTTGTATTTTTTTTTTTTAGTAGAGACGGGGTTTCACCGTGTTAGCCAGGATAGTCTCGATCTCCTGATCTCGTGATCCGCCCGTCTCGGCCTCCCAAAGTGCTGGGATTACAGGCTTGAGCCACTGCGCCCGGCCACACCTGGCTGATTTTTGCATTTTTAATAGAGATGGGGTTTCACTATGTTGGCCAGGCTGGTCTCGAACTCCTGCCCTTGGGTGATCCACCCACCTCAGCCTCCCAAAGTTCTGGGATTATAGGCGTGAACCCTCGCGCCCAGTCAGGGTCTCGGTCTTATACACAACCTCCCGTGTGCATTAATATCCCCATAAGCCCCCACCTTGATCAGCTTGGAGAAGGTCTCATAGATGAAGATGAGGGAGATGAGGAAGGAGAAGATCTCCTGGGTATAGCGGGAGATGAAGCGGACCAGGAAGCTACCCTCGAAGGCCACCACCAGCACCACCAGCAGGATGAGCCAGAAGCCGATCCACACACGGCCCACGATGTACTCTAGACCGTTGCTCTCACAGAACTGCAGGGTGGTCAGAAGAATTCGGTCAGACAAAGAGGGCCTTGGGGCAAGGCACCGTGCATCAGGCAGGTGGGGCGGGGGACATGACAGGGTCAGGTCAGTGGGGCAAGGACAGAGCTACCGAGAAGAAGGCTTCTTCAAACACCAGCAGGGGTCCTGAGAAGCCAACCACAAGCAGGGGCTGAGCCCCCAGGAGAGCGAAGAGAATGCCCTGCACTGCCGTGGAGATCAGCAGCTCCGACACTCCCATCTGGTTCCCGGTCTTTTCTCCTGTGGGTAGAGGTCACAGTGGGCTCAAGGTCAGAAGATCATTTCCAGGGGCCCATAGAGCAAGTCATGGGCAGGCTGATGCAGGGGTCTGGAGGGTCAGAGTCAGAAGTTGGGGCTGACAGAGGTCAGAGGATCAGAGGCGAGAGTTAGGGAGACAGGCATTGGCACTGACCCAGGAGGCCACCGAATGTGATGGCGGGTGACAGGGCAGCAAAGTAGATGAAGATGACGGCAGCCAGGACCTGGGGGCTGAACGCATCTGTGATGTCACTCAGGTAATAGGGGTAGCGGCGCCGGATGTCACGCACCAGGCCCCCGAAAAGCTGGCCTGTCTGCTGCAGAGGATCGTCTGGGCCCCCGGGGCCCCCTAGGCCCCCATTTAAGTCTGCGGTGGAGGATAAGAGCATGGTCAGAAGGAGCAGCTGGAGGCGGTGAGGGGAAAGGGGACTGGAGGGTATAGGGGAGATTGTCTGATGGGAATGGGGTGGCCAAGAAGGCTGGGAAATGTGGGCATAAGGAGCAGTGAGAGGGGGACATGTGATGGGAGACAGAGGCTACGCTGAGGTGTCTGGGAGTCGGTGGGGGCACAGAAAGCCTCGGCTGGGAAGGGCAGGTACCTAGGCCCTTGTAGAAGCTGGAGTCTGGCTTGGCAGGGCTGGGCTGGTAGCGTCTTCGAAGCAGCTCCCTCTGCACAGGTACCAGACTGAGCAGTGCCTGCTCGGAGGGGGCATCAGTGGGAGGCAGCACTAGGCTGCAGTCCAGGAAGCCCTTCAGGGAGCGCAGCAGCTCCTCTCGGCTCTGAGCCATGTAGGCATCTATACGGAACACCTAGGGGTAGGAGACAGGGTCAGGGCTGTCTGGACCTGCGGAGGGAAAGGACCCAGGAGTCTGAAGTCAGGGCCTCCAGGGACCAGAACCCCCTCAGGCAGCAGCTCCCATTGCCAGGAACTGCTTTTCCTGCCCACTCCCACCCCTTCTCTCTACTAAGAAAGGGCTCTGTGGAGACAGACATGGGCCCCGGGTGGGGAAAGGAGAAGGAACTAAAGCTAACCTGGTGGGTTAAGCAGACTAGACGAAACTAGAGCTAACTAAGCGCGACCAAGCCAGACCTGACCAGGTGGAACCAGGTCAGAGCGGGCTGGACTAGACTAAGCCAGGCCAAAGCCAACCAGATGAGACCAGGCCAGAGCAGGCAGAGCTGGGCCAGACTGCACACACCCGACTGCCCCCGTCAGGTAGCACAGCAGCAGCTGGATTAGGCTGAATGGGTCAAACCAGTGAACCTAAAGTAACCCAGGCCAGGTTGGAGAGTGGGCCTCAGCCACCACCCAGCTCCCAAGCTCCTCCAGCCCAGCCCTCTCCAGCCCTTCCTCACCCTCTCTGACATGAGGGTGGCAGCGGCCCGGCCGAGCTGCGTGCAATCCATGCGGAGGTCATCACGTCCCAGCAATACAAAGAGGAAGCGCACAGGCACGGGCTGCTCCACTGCCTCCAGCTCCGCTGCCTCCTGCAGCCTCACGAAGCCCAGCACTGGCTGCTCCAGGAAGGCGGCTCGGCCTGTTAGGGGACCAGAAGATCAGGCCAGGCCGAGGAGCCCAGGGTGGGTGTGCTGAAGAGGTGGGGCTGTGGGGGTCCAGGCTGAGGGAAAGACAGGCTGAAACAGGACACAAGGGGTGTGGAGGGCTGAGGGTAGAGACGCCTGTTCTTACCCACTAGCACCAGCGTGGCCTCTGCATCCGGGGGAATCTTTTCCAGAATTCCAGATGGTGAGTGTCCTTCTGTGCCCCCATCTCCCTGTGGGAAGGAGGGTGGTGACAGGAGTCCTCGGGCCACTCTGACCGGAGAGACCTGGGCATCCACCCTTTCCTCCCCTTCCCATTCTCACTTCCCACCATGTTCAGGTTGGGGGCTTCCCAACTCTCCTGGCACACCCCGGTTGCAGGAGTGCTTCTGGTCCCCTGCTTGTGGTGGGTTTTTCAGGACCCCTGCTGGCGTTTGAGGAAGCTCTCTCCGTGCCCCACCCTGGCCCTGACCGTGTGACTGACGCACCTGCTCACAGAAGAGCTGTGTCTCCAGTGAGGAGTGTTGAGAGAGCAGAGGCTCCCCAGAGCGCGTCAGGACCGCAGGCTTCACACCCCCCAGGGCCTCCAGCTCTCCGGCATGGCTGCAGGACGTACAGGGGACACGGGCTGAGTAAGCTGTTCAGGCCGAGCTATCAGTGGTGGGAGGGATCAAGGGCCAACATCAAGGGACTGGGGTAGACATCAAGGGTAGACATCTGGGACTTCTCAGACCAGACCAGAGAGACCCTGGGATGGAAGGAGAATCAGAGCCTCCTCTTCAAGTACCTTGTAGATGTAAGTGGGTGGCCTCTGGAATGACGAGGCAGGATCAAAAGAGTGGCTAGAGAAAAGGGCCTCGCAGGTCTGCCCTCCTGGGGACCAGCAGTCCCCAACTCTGAGCATAGGACATGGCCACCCCTTTCAAGGTGTCAGAGATGGGAGCCATAGTGGAGGAAAGTGAGCCCTTGCCTGGTGAGGGTAGGGCCACCTGGATCCCTGGGGAGAACTTGGGGCAAGTGGGCTGGGGAAGTGGGCCCGCTGAATATGGAATCTAGGCCCTGGCAGGCAGGGGCACCTGTGTTTGAGCAGCAGGACCCGGAGCAGCTCCTCTCGGTCCTGAGGCCGGATCTGGTCCTCAAAGATAAACCTGTCTAGCAGTTGATTGGCCACTCCAGCCAGGGAGGTCTCTTGCAGGTCCAGGAGGACGGTACCTGTAGGCAGTGGAGGAGTGAGCTGGGAGGCTGGGCCATAGCCCCACACAACAAGTCTCACCTGCAGGGGGCCCAGAAGGACCCAGGAGGCTCACCCTTGGTGAAGACTTCGTGCAACTGTAGAAGGCTCCAGAAGGTGAGGTGAGAGAGGTGCGGGCGGCCCCAGGCCCCGTTCTCCCCCAGGTTCTCCTCCAGTCGCACCCAGCGCGCTGCCTCCATCCATCTCAGTTCCTGGTTCTTTTCATCCATCACCAGCTCCTGTAGCTCCACATAGACCTGCGGCCCCATGCGCCTGAGTTAGTCCGTCAGGCACAGTCCAGGGCATAGTGGGTGCTCAGCCGCTCTCGAGAGAGGCTTGTGCTTGTGAGGCTTGGATCCCTGTGCTCAAGGGTCCGTAGATATGGCTCACACCATTCCCCTATCTCCCAACTTTCTGGCCAGGCCCTCACCCCATTTCAGAAGGCATTTGGAGAACCCTGACCCAAAGGGATGCTGGAGACGCCACTGGGGAGGGAAAGGAGTGGGAAGCGGAGGCCTGGCAGGCTGAGGCTAAAGGGGACTTTGGAGTCATTGGGTCAGTCTCCAGCCTCTAAGATTGTTCGTGGTTGTGCCTCAACATGTCCTTGGGGCCAGGTGGTTGCTCCAAGGGCCATAGCTGAGGGCCGGCCCAAATTCCTAACCAGCTAGACAGTTGGGTGCTCAGTGGAGACCTGAGGGGCCTGGGCAGAGGAGAGCAAGTCTTTAATTCTGTGCTTCCCCAGTGAGGCCTGACAGCCCAGTCAGGGCCTGAGGGCGTGGGGACTCAGCCCTTGTCAATCAGGTTGTCCCTGCCCAGGGTGCTCCTGGAAGGGGGCCCAGGCCTCCCTGTCAGTGGGGCATCCCTCCCACCTATTTCCTGGGACCATCGCTCCTCTATCGGCTACAGGGTCTCCCCTAGTCTGAAGCGGCCTCTATCCCCTTGCTCCTCTCTTCCCGGGTCAAATGGTGGACCCCAAAGGCAGCATGGGAGAGAACGGGGGAGGCTGGGGTCCTCACCTCGTGGGTACCCGGGTGCGATGTGGTGTGGTAGTCTGTGGCTGTCGCCTCGGTGTCATGAGCTGAAAACCGGAGGTCGGTTAGTATCGACCTGCCCGTCCCCCACCTGAGGCTCTTCACGATCCACCGTGAGCCTCAGAGACCCAGGCATGGGCGAATGCCCCCTCCTTCCCAATGCCCCTGGGCTGGGCCTCTGGTGCCCCATCCCACACTGGCCACTCAGCAGAATGGGGCTCCCCACACCTGTGCTGGGCCTAGCCTTAGGGTCCCCATCTGAGCCTTGTCGAGGACCCCTGGGACTCAGCCAGGAAGGCCTAGCCCCTCCACAGTGATGAAGTGAAGGGACATTTCCAAGGTGACTGCAGAGCCCTGAGTGGCAATTTTCAGGATCCTCCTAGGACCTCCTCCCTCCCCTTCCACCTCTGAGGCCAGTCTCTTTTCTCACCTGCCTCAGTGAGCCCATCAGCATCAGTGCAGTGTCTCACTGAGCTCAGGCACCAGGGTGGGTCGGCCCCTTATATTCCCGCCCCTCCCACCCCCAGCCCTCATTTCCCAGAGGGGCCTCTTAACTTTAATCCCAATCTCCAGCACTTAAGTCCTGTTGACAGTAAACAGGCCCTGCTTGGGTCTCCCCACCTAAAACCTTGGACAGACCGGGGAAGGCAGGGTGGTTCCTGGTGTCTTTCCACCCAGGAGGGTCCCCACAAGACCCTCATTTCTCAGAACCTCTTTCCCCAGGAACAAGCCCAGTTTCTTGCCTGGAATCTGGCACTGGATGGGCACAGATGGCATGTGGGCTCACGCCCTTGTCCTAAACGGGCTGCCCGCCCTTCTCACATTGCAGGAGCACTGGATGGGTGACTGCCCCTGCTCTCCCAGTCACCTCCTGTGATCATTTCAAACAAAACTCTGTTTATCCTTCAATCAGCCAGAATTGAGGGGAGAATGGCCCATGGGGCTTGGAAGGAGGACTGTGGAGAAGGGGAGAGGACAAGTGCCCCTCCTGTCCCTGTCTAGGGCTCCCAGCAGAGGGAGGGAGAGGGGCTTACCTGCTGGTTCCTCCACCTGGGGCTTGAGGACGCCTGGGTCTTCATATTCCTCCAGCTCCAGATTCTCCTCCAACACGTCTTCATGATCATCCTGTGGGAAGTGGCTATTGAGGCTGGGCTGTGAGGGGCTCTTCCACCCCCAACGAAAATAGGAGTCTAGGGCCGGGGTCCCCAGAGCCTCCAGGTGGGAGCGCTGCTGATGCCAGGGAACACCCACCTGCAGCTCCTCCATGGCGTGGTCCTGAGTGTCCAGTTGTCCACAGTGATCCGAGCTCCCAGCATAACCCGCACCGCGGGTCCCTGCAGCAGAGGGCACAGGCTGAGTGGGGCACAGGGCATCCCAGGATCTCCTGGTCCTCCTCCAGAGGAGGCCACATGTCGGTGGAGGGGATCCACGTGTTGGAGGTGGTAGGGTCAGAGGAAGGAAGTGTGGAGGGAACGGGTGAACGAGCTGGATTTACAGGTGTGAGGGTAGGTGAGCAGGGGCCAGGAGAGAGGGGCAGTGCAGGGAAGAGGTAAGTCTGGCTGGCACCAGTGAACGATGTTTGGGGAAGATGGGCAGGTGACCCTCAGGTCCATCTCCCTCCTTCATTCTCTAGTCTTCACGTGGCTTCTTTTCTTACCCATCCCTGGGACTCAGCCAATGCCAGGGGACATGCCGGTCCCTTCTTCAGGGGGCTTAGCTCCCCTGAGGGGCTCTAAACACATGCTCTTCTCAGAAATAGCTGCTGCTCACTGGGCAGGGGCTGCAGCATCCTTGGGAGTGGTCCGCAGGTCTGGACGATGTGGTCCTGCTTCTTTCCCTGACCCCATCTTGCACTCCGTCTCTCTTGCTCTCTCCCCACCTAGCCTATTGCCCTCCTGTGGTTCCTAGAACTCACTAAGCCCTTTCCTGTCCCAGGGCCTTTGCACATCCAGCTGTCCATATCCCGGACACCCTCCCCACAACACTTCAGCCCTTCTCACATCTCAGCTCAAATGTCTCCTCTTCAGAGGCCCTCCCTGACCACCACCTTGACCCAATCTGTCACTCTGTC